AAATATATATAAATATTTACTTACTAAACAGTAGAGCCACTTTCAATGCACTTGCCACCATTTCTGCATTTTATTAAACTGCATGGGGAATCTTTACATTGTCCAACACTGCGACCAGAATTGGGGTGTCCTTCTGGAGTTCCTGGTGACTTAAACTCTTTATTAAGGCTGGTGCGAACCTGAACATCAAAAATGCAACCTCAAAAGTAGAAAAAAAGAAAGAAATTAAGTTTAAAACAGATAGTGAAAGGCAAAACTGAACAACAGGACAGTGTCAACCCTCAGTGAGCGGGTTCCTCCAGAATATCTTCAGTGAATGGGCAACCATACCATCTACAGGAGATAAAGGTAGGCCAGCTACTTTCTGTTCAGGCAAATCAGTGGATGATCAGAAGTCCTTCATTTAATGGTGCGTAAAACAAAAGAAATAGTTTCTTAAGGAAGAGACAGAATATAAAGTCAGTGACTAGATGCAATTTTGTGTTTACACACTCATGCTCTTACAGGAATGTTTCTATATCAGATAAAAACAGTCACAAATCCCAACAAAATATAAAACACCAAAAAACCAACCAATCAACCCACTAAAGCCCCCAAAACCCAAGAAAAAAAAAGAGAAGCATAGTAAGAAATCTACTTAATATAAAATATAATAGAATCCAGAAGGCATCAAAGAATATAATGCAAATAAGGAATGTGGACTTGAATTTCCATAGGCTGAAAAGGACTGCTTCAGGTAATGACTCAAATTCTTCCCTTCTCAAGTGAATGCTTCAGTCCTTGATACATGCAGGTCATGTCACACATGACATTTTTAGGTCGAGGTAGATTGCCTCTTCAGGCCCTTAATCTCAGAAAATAATTTTAAAAATTAACATATACTTGTAAGGTAAACACTTCTGCGTCTACTGCTCGGTCCTGCGGCCAAGTGATGTGGCATGGTCACAATTTTATTATCAAACTTTTATTACTTTACAGAAGAGTACAGCTGCATGCAGACTGCCGCTGGGAAATGATCCAAAGATTATTTTAAGTCCCTGAACACAGTAAAGAATTGTTTAGGAAAACAATAATTGTCATAAACATTTGTTAGGGAATATTGTAATAATTTATTTGTAAAAATGTTTTGTAAAGATGATCGAGTGCCAGTGCCTGGATCTATGCTGTGATTTTCTTTTAATGTCATAATCCATTGGTATCCCAAGTGAAAGGAGGAGCTAAAGCTTCCAAGTGAAGCAGAGGTGTTCCCTGCTTGCTCCTTCCCAGCAGCTCCTGCTCAGCCTGTGAGCTTTCCAGGGACTGCCCCTCCGGAGACACTTTGCTCTGCCTGGTGGTGTCACAGGATAGTCTGCCTTATGGGTCAGGCTGAAGTCACCAGTACTTCTGGATCATGTTTATGGCTCCATGTGCTTATTTCTATACTGCAAAACTGAAGGTGATGCCATATACTTATATAACATTTTTTTAGGATCAAATCCTAAATGACCTTTCAAAATGTACCCCAGCATCCAAGTAATGTATAGTCACACTTAAAGGTAGCCTTAAACATTTTTGAAATGTCATCCAGATCTATACATAAATATATATACAATTTCAAACTGAAAATCAGATTTCAAACCACATTACTTAAACTAGTACATAAATGTATTTGAAAATGCCCAGAGCTTTTTAAATGTGATTTATAAAATTTAGTTGAGATGTAGAGAATTCCTACAGTGCCTGAAATCACAAGAAGAGTTGGAATTCAGCAGTGCATATCAGAGGCTCTCTGCTTAATATTAGAAGCAGGGAAAGGTTATGATATGGAGATGGCAAGTAATCATTGCACTGATTTTAAAAGCATCACTTAACATGAGTTTTTGCATGATTCACTGAAATCACAAAAGAAATAGACTTGCATCTGAAAGACAATGTGATTTTTTATAGTTACATAATTTTTTTAAACAAAATATAAGTAATATCTACAAGCAAAATAACTATTTTAAACAGTTTCATGATAGTGAAAGTAGCTTTCTTTGGCTATTTCCATATTTCACACATTTTGTAGCTCTGTCTATATTGACACATAACTATTAATTCAGAAACTCTTAATAAGTAATTTAAAAATAACCTAGTTTGATGGTTATTTGCAATCTCTCTATTATTGCCTTTTTGCTTTTTACAGGGTTGTTTTTTAGGCCACCTTATGCTTGGTAAACCCTAACTAATGTTTCATCTCTTTATCAGTAGCAGATAAAGCATGTTCTGTTCTCCTGGGTCTCGCTGGAGTGCTAAGAAAAAGCAGCCAGAGCTCTGCGTAAACAATGGAAAGCACAGTGAGTCCCCAAGGACTTTCAGGTCATCATGGAAAATAAACTGGCATTTGTGTTGATGACTAGTTTGAGTGTACCAGCCACAGTTTAACTGTGCCATCGAGGTTAGGAACACTGGTAAACAAAGCATGCAATAGGTACGAGAGTGTTTTGGCCCAGCTAAGTTAAACTGAATCTTTTATTTAATGAGTCAGAGCAGCAATTTGAGCCTGTTGTAGCGAGCACTACACAACCTTCTGCAGAGGGATCAGCTGATGAATGTGCCTTGTTTCTGACCTGAATCTCCTTAGCTCTCCCAGTTCTGGGCCCCTTTTAATGAGAGACTGCCAACTATTCTGAATAATGGAGAGGTTTCCTGACACAGCCAAGTCTGCAAAAGGAACTCTAAGTTCCCGACTTTGTGAGTTAAACTTGGCGTGATTCTGAACATCAGTTTTATGCAAGTAAACAGAAATCAGACACCAAGACTGTACACTCACAGAGGGTATACTACCCTTTTTTTGCAATCTTTTGAATTGTGGTTTCTTAGACCACACCTAGACCTTTCTATTATTGTCCTTTTTTACCATCAATTTATTTTATAGCTTTCACCCCAGTCAAGCAGAGCTCATAAACCACTAAAAAACCACTAATAATGGATTAAGTAAACTTGAGGTGTTATCATAAAATATATTGCTTCACTGCTCAGCTTTACTTTTTGTTTGTTTTTTTTCTGATATACCCTTATCACACAAAGAATTTTTCTGTAACTTTTTGCTAGGATCCCTTGCCCACTTGTAAGCACTTGGTGCTAATTTGGCTAAAAAGTACACAAAGCAGGCATTTTCAATATGTACTAAAAGTGCAGCAAGAGAACTGACAGAAATAGATACACTGATAAATGTATTGTATCTGAATGCAGTACTGAATTTACAGATTTCTTAAATCCTACCTATCCTTAAATGCTTTCTTTTCCTCTGTCTTTCTTTGCTGTTTGTGAGTGTTGGTTTAAAGAATGGCCCTGACAGTAACTACTCAGGTCTCCTCAGAGCTGTGACCCAAACACCCAGAGGTACCTGTATGGATCATAAGCACTGACTAAAAGCCAGTGCAGAACTCACTTTCCTCTGTGACATCAGTGGTGCAGGAACACAAAGATAAGTAGTCTCAACCTTGGCAGGCTTGTAATGTACTCTAGCTTTTTATGAGCTTAAACTTTGACTGAAAGGCTATATTTGTATCTATTTGGAACTCAACTGTGTTCTGGGTTTATTCTATTTTTAAAAAGTGATTGCATTACCTGCAATTTTATTTACTTTGCAAAATAATTTATGTGAAGAGATGGCTCTTACAGCATGAAAGAGGTTCTTCAACAGTTCAGCTTTGTGGTAAGAGTTTCTTTAGCCTATTTACTCCTCCTTTTAATAATATTTGCTGTCAAACAGATTACTTCTATAGCCATGCTACATCCTGCTTAGGAACAGGACCACAGGAACAATCAGTTGCTTCTCTTTCTCTGCTTCTCACTTACTTCTAGATGCAAGCCCTGGCTCTCCATCTGTTGGATTGATGGCTAGAGACTGAATCCTGCAGTCATGGTAGCATGGAGCACGAAACATCAGAACTCTCCCTCTTTTGTCCCTGACACCAGATTTCTCTCTGCCTCTTGCAGAGATGGAAGGGCTGGAAATTCAGCTGTAACTTCCAGCTTTTCCCAAATAATTCTCTGTCTCATTTTGTCTAGCTGAGTCATAGTGCTGAGTTGTGCAGACCTTTGAACATCAGTCAGTTGGTTTCATGCTCCCTTTTCAGATTGTCCATTAAGGACCAGGCTGAGTCTCTTTGGCCACAAGACTTTCAGTTACCTAAACCTCACATTTGACTTTTTAGAGCATCTGCAGGTACTCAGAAAACTCTCAAGGTCCCTTAGTTACACTGTTATAGGAAATGGAAAAAAAGCTGAACACTAAAGTAAACAATCCCATTTACAAAAAGCTCCAGTAAGCCTCCAAGGAACCTCAAATTCAGATAAAGTGCAAAGAGCCTCAAAGTCCACATGAACTTGGCTGCTTCATCTGAGCTCTACCTTTGCCAGTTTTCAGCTTCTCATAGGGACTGAATGAAACTTTGCAAATTGCTTAAAATACCATCAAACATCCTTCAGCCTTTCAAAAGAATCTCTAGGTGCTGATTTCCTAAATTGAAAATTTCACAACTTTTGATTATTAAACAACAATTTATTAAAAACATTTGTGTTCAGTTTCCTCCTTCTCTGTGGAAATGTCTTCATCAAGTGCTAAAGGCAGGCAGGTCAGGGAAGAAATGGTCTGAAACGGTAGTTGTACAGGGTAAAAATCCTAAATTATTGCACACTGACACTGGTGACATTTAGTCTGCAGCAGTGAGGCTGGTCTCAATGTTTCTTCATCCAGCAGTGATCTCTTACAAAAGGAGAGGTACACTCTGGTATTAGAAGCAAAATGGTTTTAATAAATCACGTCTTTAAAAGGAGCCAACAGCAGGGTTCTAAAACTCCGAGTGGTTTAATCAACTATGTCCTAGATAAATTTATCTTGGCTGGCACTACCAGAGTTTCTGTGAGATCCCTACAGCTGCAGTTTGGCTGAAGTAAAATAGTTCAAAATTTTCTTCTCTCATAGTGGTATTGCAGTTCCCCCTCTGGAAAAAAAAGTCTGTGGAGGTTTATTTTTTATCCTGAAGATCCTGAGAACTGAAACTGGGGAGATTTCTGAGCTAGAAGAACAAATGAGATGATGACTACGTAAGAAAACATTGGAGGAAATTGATCATAGGAAAGTGTAAATTCCTTGAAAGTCACTGTGCTCTGGAGAACAGAGACAAGCTGCTGCTGGGAACAGGAGCATGGAATTAATTAGCAAAAATAACAGTCTCAATACTGTAAATGCTAGGTACAAAGAGAAAACTGTTTATGTGCCACATGTTTCCCAAAATTTTGCAGTAATACTTTTCAAAGAGCATGAAAAAAATCAATAAATAGTATGGTAACTTAGAATACATGAACTTCGTGGTTTAAAAAAAAATATTAATACTGAATTTGTAGAAATTTGGTCATTACAATACATTTGGAACATGAGGAATCTGGAAAACTCAAAATATTTGTGCTTAAGTAAAGCACTAGAGATTCCTGTTAGTCACCCCTAAACACCAGCATGTCTATAAAAATGCCAAAAGTACTTCACAGATATTGACCCTCTGAAAACAGTCACACAGACATTGTGTTTTATGATAGGCCAATTTGCAAGGTGCTTAGAGGCTGTGAAAGGTATAACTGTACAATCCATGCTTGCTAAAAAGATAGAGACAGAGGAGATGTTAATTCATATGACATTCTGACTGAGAAGTTCACTAAGAAATGACAATATGATATTGAATTTGAGGAAATTTTGGTGTAAGAAAAAAAAATGATGTAATGGCTGGAATTATAGCAGGTACATGGGCTTAATGGAAATGCAGTGTTTTAGTGCATTAAAGTGAGTTTTACTGCTGTGTTTGACTTTCATAACATACCCTCAGTTTCATAACTGAGAACTCAAACTCTGTTTTACTATTGCAAATTGTTTTCTTTTCATTTGAAAGGCTTTCCAGTGCTTAAAATTAATTGAAATTTTACCTTGTAAATATCAAGAACATTGTTTCTTTGGAAGTAAAGAACAAAAATAAAGTGTTATGAACAAGTCCTTTGCTTCATAGCTGATCTGGTAGGAGTTGAAAACAGATTAATAAAGCTTCAATATCAGTTTTGAGGTAAAAATTATTATCTGCTTGATAAATATTTGCAAAAGGAATTAGTTAAGTACTGCCTTGAGACCTAGGTCATAATGCCAGGAAAAAAGAAATCTGATTTCTTTCAGAAAGAAGTTTTCAGTGTGAAATCTATTACCCAAACTAGCGCTGCCAGTCACAGTGGAATCAGAATCTAAACTACTTCAGAGAAAGGAAGTAATTTTGAAGCTATGATGTAGAACAGGGGCACATAAAAATGTGATTACATGGCAAACATTAAAATGAAAAACTTCCACTTTAGCAGAAACAGAAAATATTAAAATTATTTAGCAATGCCTCTTTTTGCATCATCTTAGTTATCTTAGTTTCTTAGTTATCAGAGTGAAATAATGAAAAAGCCACAGGAAATTCAGCCATGGAGATTCTAGTTTGTTTCCTGAGAAGACAGAGATTGTTTCAGTTGCCTATGAAAGAAAGATACACAATCTGATACATTTAATAAAAGGAATTGAAAATGGTGCAATCTTTACCTTGAAAGCCATTCTTAAATCTGTGTCCCTTTGGCAGGAGCTCTGGAGTATACTCACGATAGCCTCCTAAATAAAACTGACTGAAGACATTGAGTCCAACCAGCCTCCCAGGAGAAGTGACAGTTTTATTCTTCTGATCATCCACCTTTCAATGAAACATTAACACTTGTTACAAAAAAGGGATTTGCCTGTATTTAGGAACTCCTTGTGAAGATAATCCTCCCAGCTTTATAGGGAAGCAAAAAAAAAAAAAAAAATATATTTTCCATGTAAAATTTGAAAAAACACAGAGAACACTTTCATCTAAAGGCTAGCTTAAGGATATTCTTTTTTACCTTCAGCCAGCCTTTCTGGAGATTTCTGCCAAGATGGATGACATGAATATTGAGTGTCTGATCAAGTGGTTTGCTAATGATTGTTGCTGTGCCAGAACCTAGATTGTAGCTATATACCACTCTCCCATTACGGAGGCCTAACTCCAAGAAATCATCTCCATTCAGACCTGAGAAAACAAAAGAAGGGTAACTACTTATTCCAGGATTTAGTGAACACCAGTGTGTAAAATATACTGAAAAATTAGCAGTTTAGCAAAATAATAGCCAGGAAGCTTATGAGTTTACTATATATTTCTAATAATCTCTGTTTGACTTGTAATACTCTTTCTAGTGTTATTTTGTATTTAAGATAAATTTTCAACTTCCTCCAAAATCTAAAAAAAAAAAAAAAAAAAAAAAAAAAATTGAAATTTCAAGTTGCAAGTGAGAATAGGCCCTGACTTAGTCCTGTTCCAGGATGCTTTCAGCTTTCATTATAGGTACTTCAAGAGCCTCAAAGCCAGAGGACACCTGCTGCTCTGAAGCAAGGGGAGTAACAGGGACACGGCTCTGAAGAAGCTTTGGCACCTTCTCTCAAGCTCCTTCAGCTGCCCTGGACTCAACAGCACCTGGAGATTTCATTGCACTTGCCCCTGATTGAGGCAGCTCTAGGATGTTCATTGATGGAATTTCCTCAGTCAGCCAAGTGCTTTAATTCTTTAAGCCTTCTTAACTTTCAGGTTAGACCTGATTGATTTTCAAGTTTGCAGTAAATAATTTAATTTCTTTACATTTAGGCCTGCATGCTACAAGTGTTGTTTATGCTTTTAATAACTACAGTGTAAAATGTCATTTGAAGGATTTTAAGTCTGACATAAAGTCCACGAGTAAGAGTTCAATTTCTGGACCTGGTCATGCAAAATAAACACATTTTTACACTGTCATCTTTAAAGAGCTTTCAGTCTCTCTCCTCATGCAGGCAAGGAAGGAACCACCATTGTTTAGAGAAAACCTGATCAACTTGTTTTTCTTCTATCAACCCCAACTTTTCTTTGTTTATGGTAAAAGAACCAGGATACAAACAATGGTGAAAGTGAAGAATGTTCTCACGTGTGCCCTAGGGTGACCTGAATTGAAATTCAAAGCCATCCATTTCTTTTTACAACTCTCCTGTGAATTCAAGCAATTCAGTGCCCAATTTCATGCCCATACATGGTATTTTATTTGATATTTTCTTCTGTTTTCATAAGGCTGTATTGTTTTGTATTTGTTTCAGGGAAGGTCTCCCTATTTGTTCCTCCAGTGTCACATGGTGGCCCTCATTTAAAATGTGTGTTTTGATGCCCCTATCTCAAATGCATGGGAAATTTTCTTCATTTGCAAAATATAAAGTAGGCTTTTCCCCAGGAAACCATGCTACTTATATTGTCCTCCCACTGAAGCTCTGCACACAGCTGCTTCACAGTCAAAACTGCCATATTCCCCTTATCTCATATCCTGGAAATGAATCTGGGGTGTGCATTGCTTTTTCTATGCAGAAGTTTGTTTTTTCTATAGAGTTATTATTCTGATGCAATGGGAATCTATAAAAAAAAGAAAAGTAAATCTGTACTCCAAAGAATATAAATCCACTGCCTCTGTAGAAAGTGTGCAGCTACATTCAGTTGTATGGAATACAAACACTATTCATTTTTTATTACAATGATTTGTTCATGATTTATTCATAAACTGAATGAAATCCCATTGCTTTCAGTTACACTGGCACATTACCAGTGAAGGACTTCCAAACTGAAAATGGCAATTCTTTTTAAAAAACCTTCACTAAAGTTTCTGTTTTCAGCAGTGTCTACAATGTACTTATGTCATTTGACTGACAAAATTAGGGGAAGCCCATTAAAGACAAACTGTTATTTAAAAGGCTTTTTGAGTTTTTAAAATGCTTTTCAGAATTAAAGTGTATTAAAGACATGCAATGTAGCAATGCCAGTACTCTACAAAACTGACTTGATAGTGAGGATAACCATAGCATCATAGGCTGTTGAAAGGTTGGAAGGAACCCTAAAGATTATCTAGACCCAACACCCACTGCCATGGGCAGGGATACCATTCACTAGACTGAGTTGCTCAAGGTCTTATCCCTGGGCTTGAACTCTGTCAGGCCTGGGGTAGAATACAATAATGTTAATAGTTTGCATAAATGAGACAGCTTTAAACTTTAGCTATGTATTGGGACAGAATTTTATTGTAACTCACAAGAGGTTAGCTATGAAATTGATGCCTGTGGTTTGGGCAGAGACAACATTGGAGGGGAATCAGGTGGAGTGCTGCAAGAGAATCTTAACCGACAAGAAACTGGATGAAATGGAGAAAGGGGAGAATTCAAATTAAGTATTAAAAAGTGCTTCCTTACTGGAAGGTCACTGGCTGGGAAAACCCTCATGCTTCTCCTGTTGAGAGTGCTATTGCTCAACACTCAGTAAATTGTTACAACAAGAGCATCTTTGTGAAATAAGTGACATTCACTTGGTAAGAAACTGCTTTTGTTGCTAAAATGTGGGGTGCTCAGTCTCCCCAACCATTTAAACTAAGGAGAAAATCACGAATTATCAACAGCACTTTACCATCACCTCACTGTTCTGTGTTTCTTGAGCCTTGCCCTTGGCAGCTGTGCTGCTGCCCACCCGTTGTTCAGCATGGGGATGCAGAAACACCTGGCTGCTGTACCACAGTGCTCTCACACACAAATGATATGCAAAGTAATAAAAAGCCAGGTTTCTGCCTGACAACTGCATACAAGCCCAGAATGCTAGTATTCGCATTAATAAAAATGACACCAGTAAAACTTTTTTTAAAAACTCAGTTCAGCCAAATGTGATTGCAAGGCGTACATTCCACAATGACTTCTGACAGTACAGGGTACACCCTGAGGGCAGGCCTTTTTGAGACAAATTTTAGTGCAATGTATCTTTTATACTTAAGCAAATTATTTTGAGTTCTCCTTTGATTATTGTAACAAAAAGGAATCAGATTATTTCATACCATTGGTGTTCTATGTATCGTATTTGCATTTTCTCCATCCTGAATAAAGACAATGAATTAATTGGTATGATTTTTGTTTGGTTACATTTCCTACAATTGGAAATGTTTCAAACAGGTGTTAGAAATTCAGTTCCCAAGGCTTCAGAAATATGCCTGAATATGGTGGTTCATTCTTGTTGTTGAAAAGAACATTCTAATGATTTCTTTGTGTTCATATTACAACAGAGTTTCTTATAAAAATGTAATGGTGCAGACATTGGCTTTTGAATGCTGTTTTCTGAATTATTAGATGGAAAGGTTTTAGGTAATTAAAACTCTGTGCACCATTTCTGCTCAGCTACCCAAAAAAGAAAGACAATATTTCATCCATCCACAAAAATTAATAATAGCAAGTGACAGGAAAACTGCCTGCGAGTGAATGGTGACTGTCACAGGATTAAAATGTGGCAGGATGAGAGTTCTACCTGGATGTAGTTAAAATAATGGGAATGGAGTTCAGTTAGCAGGATCAACCAGGTTTGATCAATCAGTCTCTTGCTGAAGTTTGGGAAAAAACTTAGCAAATTCTGATTTCCACACAGATAGAAGCAGAGCTAAGTTCTGAGTTTAAATCCATTCAGAGTGGTTAATACTGATCTGTGTTAGGCTAATTTGGGTAATCAACCTGATAAATTAAGTACCAGGGTCTCATGGCACACTAAAGGGCTGCTGAACTGCACTAGCTAAATTTGACAGGATGTTTGCAAATGAAAAGTAGCAGACTTAATTATATCATAGATAAACTGCTGAGCTGTTCTATGCTAACTAGTTTTCGTTTGCATTGCAATACACTAACAGCCTGACTCCTGCAAGTCTGCCACAGGGAGAAAGGGAAGAAGCCTCAGAGGGTATAGGAGTTTAAGTAAAGAAATTTAATAGAATGACAGACCTAAGAAAATATCAAATGTATTAACCTTGCAAATGAGGTATCCCCTGTATCCTACTGATGTGATATACTGCAATTGTTTTGTTAGATATATATGTAAATACATAATGTCTCCCCAAAATTGATTTTTAATAATGCATTTTGGGACCTCAGTATCTTAAAACACCAAATAATAATTTGTCCCCTACTTCATCTTTCTGAAGCATTAATTTTCTGATACTGTTCAGCATAAGTGTAGGGTCCCTGTAGGTCAAGGGCCATATCTGCAAAACTTGTGTGATGTTTCAGATATGGTAAAATATCTACTAAAGTAGTAGAGACTTCTACTAGCACACCTAAATGACTCTCCTGCTGTGATAGGTTTAGACATAAGACACATCATCCAACCTGCCTTCTAGGTTTCAACAATTCCACAGGACAGCTCCAAACCCAAAAGCTAGGTCATGCTCCAATTGCAGAAATGATTAAGAGAAAAAAAATTTCCTTCTTATGAAGTATCTATTACTGGCTTATTATGTCTGCATCAAATTATATAAACTTTTCCTCAACTTTCATTATCATTATGGCTTCTGTTTGGAGTAATGCTGAGATGGACAGAGCACAGGTGGTGTTACCCGTGCCACGCTGACGCCACGCAGGCTGCCACAGAGGGGTGCTGAGGAGAGATACTTTAAGTATTGTTAAAATCTTAGTACAAATACTCTAAGTAGATTTACATAACCTGCTTCTCAGCTGTGTTAACCACACCAAATTGAATGCTTTGCTACACAGACTTTAACTCAACTTACTCGTAGCTAGCTTGGGTTAACTTGCATTGAGAGATCTCAGGGTTGAGGGTCTCCTATTTTATGTGAATAACACAGAGTTCAGTGATCAGTAATGAAATTTATGTTAACAACTGAAAAAAAGGAACCTTGGCCTTCAGGTTTCCATCTATTTTGTTCAGAAATACACTACCTCAGATTAATTGTTGACTTCAATTACTGGAAGCAATTATATTTCTCTTTAATAAAAAGAAACATTTCTACAACCTGTTAGATTTCTCTGTCTTTACAAAACAATACAGTTTTGAAGAGATTATTTTCCCACTAATGACATTTTATCTTAAATAGAATCAAGAGAAACCTGTGCATATTTTTTCTCCTACTTGTTCAATAAGAATTTAACAGCTTGTAAGGATAAGTGATACAAATAAAGCCTACCTTGGCCCTTCTGTCCAGTGAAAAAAATCAGGTTATCTTGTAAAGCTGAGTGGTGGTTTGCCAACTGAAATTTCAAGCGAAATTCATAGTAGAAGGTGATATTTGGGATTGTAGAATAAGCTAGGAATGAGGTATATCCAAAGACATCTGTGCCACTGAAACTTGGTTGAGTAATGGTAATAGCTGGATTAAAAAAAAAAAAAAAAAAGAATAAACTCAGGGTTAGGGCAAAAAGTTCAACAGACTTATTTTAAAAAATGAATTATTGGCAACTACTGCCATCTCCTGGAGTGTAGGTAACATTGCTACAAGTGACAGTTAAATTTAATCACGACTCGGACAGACAAAAGAAAATACAGAAAGAAATTTTCCTGTTAAAGGAAATGCCATCTCTGACAGGCATTTGAGTGAAAGTGAGTACAAGAATGTGCTGACGAGGTTATGGAATGATAATTCTTGACAGGTAGAAGAAATAAGAGAAAGAAGCATCATAAAAGTATGAATTTGCAGCACAGTGAACAGGACCCACATGAATTGCAAATAAAATCAAGGCTGTACCTGTCTGTACAGAAAACAGAGTGCTGGTGCTGAGTACCCACATGGCTCCTGGGGCTGGCACCCAGAACCCAGACTGCTGTAGTCAGCTCCTGGAGCTGATGCTCAGAGAACACATAGTGCTTGTATTGACAATATGGATCAGTAAAAACAGGAGAAACAAGAATGACAGCTTAATCCTGAAAGACTGGGTCTGGGACTAGATTTAAAAGATTTGAGCAGTTACCTCCAACCAACCTGCGCCCCAAACGTGACTGGACACAGCTTTATTAATGTAGGCAGTGTGAGGGACTGGGGGAGGAAGGAATACAAACCTGTCCCAGGCACAAACCAGATGGGGGAACGCTAGTAAAGGATTATAAAACTCCCCAGGTAAATCTATATTAGCCTAAGTACATCTAAGCACTTAAATGCTTACAGGGAGGGAGAAACAATATCATGTAATTGTGAAAATGCCATCACCACCTCTAGAGTGTGGAATCTGTTTGTAAATTTTCAGCCTGGGAAAGCTTCCATATTGGCACTGATGTGGCAGGAATTCCTTGATACCTGCATCTGAGAAAAGGTGCAGATACAGGCATGGCAAATCTTTTCTAGCACAGACTTGGAATTTGCAGCAGTACAGAGTGTACTGTCCCATTTATTGAGCACTACTCCACACATGTGGCACATTATGCTTTGCTCTTGATCTTAGATGGGAGCCAGAAAATATGAAATAGTGGTTTTGTCCTAATTAGCAGGACACTGTAAATGAGTCTGAACACAACCTCAAGCCTCAGACCTCTGTGAGTCATGGACTGAACTGGAGGCACAACACAACTCCCCCATATTTAAATCTCATGTTAGTTTCAATCCACCCATATTTCCTTAGATTACTTGAACATGACTGAAGGAGTCTCAAATTCTATATTTTTGCTAATTCAGAAAAATATGACACACAGACTGCTCCTTTGATGCAAATTATTCTTCCTTTCTTTTTTTCTTTTCTTTTTCCCCCCCTTTTTTTGGTGTCTTTATGTTTATTTAATAAACCACAAAATATTTAAGAGATGAGAAGATTTTAAAATAAAGGAATCATTTACTGTTTTTTCCTGCTTCAATTTAAAATGGGAAAAGCAAATTCTCTCATGTACCTTCACAGAGCCAGGTAATTTGGTTTGCTGGCAGAGATCACTGAAGAGTCTATTCCTGATAAATTATTCCCAACAGGGGAATAATTCTTTATGCCCAGGATGAGCTATGCCATTGTCTCAGCTGTTTCCTTGGAGCATTCTAAGTGGGGAGTTATTTTCTTGCCTTTCTACTTGCTTCTTCCAGTATTCCATATAAAGTTGGATTAAAGATTGACAAAGGGCGTCCAATACAAGGAAGCCACAGGCCTGGGGACAAGTCCAGAGGAGGCCACTAAGTCGATCACAGGGCTGTAACACCTTTCCTGTGAAGACATGGAAGAGTCTGAGGGAGCTGGGGCTGTTCAGCCTGGAGAGGAGCAGCTCTGGGGAGACCTCTAGCAGCCTCCCAGTACCTAAAGAGGGCTTACAAGGAAGCTGGAGAAGGATTGCATGAGCACCATGTGGATCTATATCTCCATCAGGCATGTAGTCCTGAAGGGAAATAATACTTTTTAAGGCAGTAGGAGTCCCGTGGGCATTTTTAATGGAAACTGTGACACACTATTTTGGTTTATGTATTCACAGTTTTCTTGGCTGTGCTGAAGAAGTTTCTCACACCTGGTAGAAGTCAGATGCAGTTTCTAATTAACCACTCTATCCTTAGCAGGTAGGCACATGTTTGCAAATAGTCCTCCCTAGGCTGGAGAGTAAAATGTATTTAGAAATGTTAATTAGTAATGAGTCAAAAGCTTGTATTTCTGGCTAACTCAATCTATCTAGCTTGACAGCTATTCCATATTTTGTCTGTCTCTGAACTGCCACTTATAGACTTGAAAGCACATTTTTAATCATGTTCCTTGTCTACACCAAGTATTGTTTGTCAAGAGATCTTTATCCAATCACATAAAAAAGTGAAAGGTCATCAGTAAATGTGCATCAGTGTTTGAGATTCATTTCATGCAATGACCTTCATTAATTTGATTTTAATGAAAACTAGTTTACCATAGTTATACATATTTTTAACTTAAAAATTGAAAGAAAAGTAATAATTATGTATGAAAAATACCATGATTGGCAAAATCATGTGGAAAAAAACCCATCTCCACCTTTCTTTTTATTATTTACCTTTTCATTATAAAGCTATGGAACCAAGACTGCAGAAAATTGCATAATCTTTTCCTTGGAACACAGTCCTTCTAAACAGTATTTGTAAAATGTTTGAGGCTGGTTGAATTAGCAGAGGGCACAGCTGTCTTCATTGGGTTATTTTTCTTTTCCAGTCTGGACTTCATCCAAACTGATTTCTACTCTTGCTCTTGCAGTGCACAGTCTGAAGTGGTAAAGAACAGAGATGTGTCCCAACGACTTTGATTATGGGCCTTGCTCACACACTCCAAATTAACACTGTGACTAAAATACACATTTGCTCTGACAGAGTACTGAAGTCTTTTATCAACTTTGTGTCCTTGATCTTGTCCTGTGTCTCCCTGTCAGTTCTATGTCGTTCATCATTCTGCTTTTCTGCATTCCCAGTATTGAACAAGTAATAACGAATGGTATGTCCCATTGACTCACAAACAAATAATGACAAATTATCCCATTATATAAATGCATCAATATGGTTGACTACTTACTTCCCTAATATTGTATATCTCATCAGAGCTGAGCACAAAAAAATGGGAGTTAGAAAAAATCAACTATACTTTGAAAAAAGATCTTAACAAAGAGGCTCAACTTCACTTCTGAATTCTCTACCTCCCCCCCCACAACTGGCACAAGGTGATGGGGCACAAGGTTGTGGATGAGGCCTCTGTCATTCCCTCCCCCTCAGGGAAAGAACTATTCATACTCTTCCCCCATTCCAGTATGGGGTCCCTCCCATGGGAGACAGTCCTCCATGAGTTTTTCCAACGAGTCCTTTCTATGGGCTACAGTTCTTCACAGCATGGGTTTCCCACAGGGTCACAAGTCCTGCCATCAAACTGCTCCAGTGTGGGCTCTTCTCTCCATGGGTCCACAGGTCCTGCCAGGCCCTGCTGCGGTGCAGGCATCCCGTGGGGTCACAGCCTGGGATCCTCCATGGCCTGCAGGTGGATATCTTCTCCACTGTGGGCTCCATGGCTGGATGGGACAGCTGCCTGACCGTGGTCTCAACCATGGGCTGCAGGGGAACCTTGCCACGCAAACCCACTTTGCTCACTGGAAACTATGGGATGTCCAAGGAAGAAAAGATAAAGGGTGCTAGAGCTGCAGGGTGGTGCAGTGCCAGCTGAGGGTTCAAGGTGGTAGTAAAATACTCCTGATGTCTGTAAAGCTGTTGTATCAAGAGTTAGTGATCCACTTAATGGGTCATTCAGGTGTATGAATTTCCCTCCCCACTTCCAGGACTTATGGAATCCTTTTGTCTGTCTTGTGTCATCAGTAATCATGAAGTCATCAGTTTTACTCTGGGAACTGAAATTTGAAATAATAAAAGTGACTTCACTGCTCAGAGATGAAACTATGATTCTGAAAAACTGCCAGTACAGCAGTGACATTAATAGTGTGTGAGTGTGCCTGTATGTGTGTTTCACAATTTTTATGACATTCATCACATTGGAGGTGTGGGGGAAATTAAGGCCCAGTGAAAACAAAATAACTGAGAAAATAAATTCTCTTAAACAGTAAAAAGAGCAACCCTGCAGATTTTTTAGCTGAGGAAATTCCCTTTGGGCATCTGCTACCACCGAACTGCACAACTCAGTCTGCAGACCCAAACAACTCTGAAGGTGACATTGAGTGCCAAACATAGCTACACAGAAACAATTCGCTTGCAGGCTGATTTACACTCTACAGAACTTGAAGCAAGTGACTATTCCCACTTTAACACATTGAAATTAATTTTATACATGGGGGAATACATCCCACAGAAAACCTGCTGGAATTCTTGGGGCTGTGAAACATTACCATAAGTGTTGCTCAGAAATGTTTCAAGGAAGAACCTTACAGATTGCTGTGAATGACCCTTTTCAGGGTGTGTTTGCTAAATACAGCATCACAGTTAGGACTCCGCTTCATGCTGTCACATATGTGAACATATGTGAAACTAAACCACTGAAGTTTGGTCTAAAAGACTGCAAATGACACAATTACTCATTTTATCAATGCACATGCCTTTGAAATCCTTCTCCCTTTAAATCTGCATTTGTACTTACAAAGTGCTTGCTCTTGATTCTTGGCTCAAAAGGCCTCATGTTATGATCAACATCTCCCCAAAAGAGCCGCATTTCTTGTGCAACGTACTATTACCAACAACACCAGGTGTACATTTCCAGTCCTGGCAAATGAACCATTCCTGCTTCACTTGCATTTAGGAGGCCATTACCATCCCACACCCCACTGATATTTGCAATTTAGGAATTCTGCATCTTATATAGCAAAATTTCTTACACTCAGATATTTCAAACATTGTGATTTTATATTTTACTGTATCAATCTCCTGTACAAACCAGGAAACGCCTCCATTCTGTGCTTAGATAGAAGTGTAAAAAAAATAGAAAAAAAGAAATAAAGGCTGATTACACAGACGGTAGCAATTTAACAACTCTAATCAAGTCTGTGATACTAAACACTGAAGAAGTGTGCAAAAAACAAAATGCAAACAACTTTTTGCTAATTTAAATGTGAAAGGAAATTTGTCAAACTAAGGGCTTGGATGCAGGCTGCTTTCACACAAATCTACTGAGAAGCCAGAGCTCAATAACTGGACTCAATTTAAATTATATAGATCCCTTTATCTGCAGTTTAAAGATGCAAAGTCACTTGGGGGAATTAGTCAATCTGCCCATGTAGACATAGGCTCTATAGTCTCATAGTCTCTTTTCCAAAGTGTTGGGTATCGATGGTGTTCTCCTCTCCTTCCCTTCACCCCAACCCCCCAGCCAAGTTGGAGGCATTTAATAGAAGCATTTAACTCTGCAATTCAACAGTCAAGTGTTGAATTGCACACTCCTATCCCATCACAGATCCATATCCATAATCCCAGAGCACAGACCACAACAGCAGACAGGACTCAAAATAAGGGTTCAGAGGAAGGAACACCTTGCCCAGATCCCTCCAGGACTGTCAGGATACCTCCAGCCCTCCTGGCAAGGTGTGACACTCCCCATGATGACTCAACAGTGGGTCACCCTTTGGACAGAGGGGTGTAACTACCATGGGGTATGGGACACATTATGAGATGTAGGCAAAGAGCATTTTGGAATAGCACAGGACTTATGGGGGTCTAAAAGAGAAAATTAGGTGATTTGGGGAGGAATGAGTAAGGAAAATAGAGGGATACAGAGACATAAGGGCCAGGCACGTGTAAATAGATCAGAATGCTTGTCTGGCCATGTCCTCCACCTGATCAATGTGGCCTGTACTCTCTTCTGTTTTATATTAACATTCCCCCTTCCTTTGGCCCATTATGCTGCATCTGTGTGGGTTCCTGAGAGACATTTCAATGTATAATGGTGAACTTGCAGTTAAAATAACAAGGTCATCTAATGATAAAAGCAAGAAAAATGTGTAGTGAGGGATAATGCATCTTGTTATGTATGTTTGGAAAAATGGACATGCTTTTGGAAGCTTTCACTGATATCTGAAACAAGCATAGCATACAAATAAACTCAGAGCTATTGTCACCAGCCTGCTTAGACAGCAGTATGCTCCATCTGATTCAGAAATGTAGGAAAAGTCCTTGTTAGTTCCAGACCTTGTCTATTTTTCCATATTTATATACATTTGTCTAACAGAAGTTACTATCTGTCCTTACATTTTTTGCCTCATTTGTCATATTTACAATTGTCCTATAATTTTCTTCACTTTTTGAGTGCTATGCATTTCACACAAAATGATGTGCTTTTACCTTGTCACAATTTGGTTTTTCTTAGTTTTTTTTCTATTTCTGGTTTTTTTACCATTTAATAGGGACAATAGTTTTATTATAATTTTCCTTACTGTCACTGACATATTTTCTGAAAATCCTTTCACTAGGATTTTTCTCCTGAGAAAAGCCTCAGAAAAGGAATGTGAACAATAACTATCTGATGGCTGTGGAATATGGTGTGGAGATGGTTTACCAACAGGTGCATCTTTGATTGGTCTCATGTGGATTGTTTTTAATTAATGACCAATCCCAGTCCAGCTGTGCCAGACTCTCTGGTCAGTCACAAGATTGTATTATCATTCCTTTCTAGCCTTCTGATGTCTCTTTTATCTTTCTTTAGTATAGTTTTAGTATATGATTTTCTTTTAATATAATAATATCATAGAATAATAAATCAGTCCTCTGAAACACAGAGTCAAGATTCTCATCTCTTCCCTTGTTCTGGGAACCCTCAAACACTACCACTTATTACATATACTGCTGTTGTTCTTAGCATGATTTCTAACCCTTAACAGAAGGCAACTGGAGCAGACAGGGGGAAGATCTGTATCTGTGGGCTCCTTTATGGCTCTGTCCACATCTTTATTTATCCTTACTGTATCTTTTGCAAATAATCTCTATTGTTAGGAGCAGCCAAGCTGGCATGAAATTGCAATTTTATTTGGTACATTAGTTATATTCATTTTATCAAATAATCACTGTGACATCTCACTTGTTCTGTGTTGATGAAAACCAACTATTATTTGATAAAAATTTTGATAAACAGCTATTCTTCAGTGTTTCAGACATAAAGTATCAAGCATTAGGTTGTAATCTGAATAGTAGAGACAATATTATTGTGTATCTTAAACAAAAGATGATTAATTTAAAATCTGCACTTCTATGCCTTAAGTTTTTGTGGATCATTTCTTTCTTTTAATTTTATTATCTGGGATACACATTTTGTCATAGTAAACAATTAAGTTTGCCTTCTGCTTCTAAAATAATTTAAATTGTTCTATCATTTTAATTAGGCAATCTATCATTATCTTCGAATATCTCCCAGAAGTATGGCTTTGATGCTGCTGGGGCTATCCGTAAGGACACATCCAGCCTCCACTGCATTGTGTCTCTCCTTCTCCCTTCTTAGTTTCAGAAAATGTGATAAAGGGGTCTCTTGCAACTCATTTTACGACATCTGCCTGTGCTCAGGTTATTTCTATTCCTTCTAAATTGTCAAGATATGGTTCAATAAAATAATTTTTCATATTCCAATAATAGTTTCTTATGTTGTCAGCTGATTACCTTAGATTTACGTCCTGCAAAGCTGAGTGTTCTTTCCCATTTTGCTTGTTTATAGTGATGGTCCAGACAGTTTTCCCTTTCTACTCATTAAAATTAATTCTTTCTGTGCTTCCAAAGACTCCAGTTTTGTAGACCAGTCAAACTAATGAATTTCTGTAGTTTCACTCAATTTAGGCGCTCAATTTTTATGCAGTCTCGCAGTTTAGAGACAATTAAATAGGAAGATCTGCAGAAGAGCCTCACTGAACAGCTACAGGGAAAAAACATTAGATGATACTCTGTGTTAACAGATGTAAATTGGGGCAGATTACAGAAACAGTCCTTGCCTTAAATACAGGACAGTGGGCTCTGACCTCACCATCAGCTTTCAAAGGAAGAGGTGTTGGAAATTTTAATAAGCACTTTCATGAATATGTCAGTGTACTCATAAAAGAAAACAGAATGGGAAACAAAGAAAACAGAGATGGGTTAAGTAAGGGCAGAGAGTAAGACAGAAAAATGTCAGGCACCACTGTATAAAGTAGTGGCATTATCAGACCTCGAATATATCACCTTGAATCAGCTCTGGAGCCTCATTTTAAAGAATGAGGAATTGAGAAGAAACAAAGAAATGCAGCTTGGATGACTAGAGATGCAGCAAATTAAGTCCCAGTGTATTTCTACTGTAAATTAGGAAAGGTTACCAAGAAATTATCATACATATTTCATATATTCACTTCTACTATTTGCTATCAAATATCATGGTTAGATGAAAGCAGATAAAACATAAATGTTCATCTACTGAAAATTTTGGAAATAAATATTTTAAATAAGATTTAAATATGTATATGATATGACAAAAACCAACCTGATCATTGTTTAATACTTATTTGAAAAGGTACTTCATGTGCACCACTAAATAAGCTCAGAATCAGTGATTATTTTCTATATGTAGGTTTTTCAATCATTACTTCTTGCTGCATTCACTGTTAGGGGAAATAATTCCTTGGATGTTCACACAGAGGAATTCCTGACCTAGAACAATCATTATAATCAATGCTCAAGGAATAAAAGTCCTTCCTTTGACAATGTTAGTCAAAATGACCTATTTCCTTTGCTTTATTATTTTCACTTTATCCTGTCACCTGTTTCACAGCAAAACACTTAGTAAATTTTAAATTGTCCTTCTTTTTGACCTGAACAATTAATCAAATTATGATATGTGGTGGTATTTTCACAATCCAGAAAGTATTATTTTTACACTGCTTCAATAGCAAAACGTATAAAGTAATAGTTCTGTAAGCAGATGAAAAATCAAACTGCAGCAGAAATCAATTTCTCCAAAGGAGCTCTCACTTGAATCTCTCAGTTTTTCTCCAGGTGATTTACTAAAACATCAAATGCCACCTGGGATTTCCCAGCTTCTCTGAGTAAACTCTCAGCTTCTTTGATCCCTCTGTCTGCCTTTCTCTGGCTGGAACTTTAATGAAGCCACACATGGGAAGGGTGATCAGCTCAGCCATTCTTTGTGTGTGACTGGGCTTTGGGCTCTGTTTTTAGGTGGGGAGGTTGTGACTTTCAGTGTTTTACCTTCAAAACCTTTGAGATGTTTCTTACCACAGCTTCTATGGATGATAGAAACTATGACCAATGCATGAAGAAAACGTTTCTTACCATCACTGCAGAGGATGCCAGACCTTCCATATGGACACAAGCAAACAGCATCTCGCCTGGACTTTGGAAAACATGTAGCACCATTTCCACATGGATTTTCATCACAAGTTGCAAACTGGCAGAGTTTTCCAGTGTAGAGTTTAGGGCATTCACAATACCAATTTTCTTCATCACTGACAAATTTAAATTACAACAAACAAACAAAATGTGTAAGTATCAAAATGCATTTAAAAAAAGCAGAATAGGATTTACAATTAGAGAAAATCTGTCACATCTGACTTACAGTTGTAATAGATCTCTGCTTTTACTAATGTTCATGGCATTAGACATGCCAGAATGTCTTACTAGGACTGGAGATGACAGTTTCCTTTGGGTCTGTTTTTAATTTTGATTTTTCTTTCTTTTGCTGGTGAGAGATGTGACTTTTCTAATGTCTCACTAGTTTGTGCTGCATCTTTCATAGCATAATCAAAAAAACTGCTGCAGAAGAACAGGTCCTCTATTATGTCTAAAAAAATGAAAGCACGTGAGAACAAAAATTGAAAGTTACTAGTTTATTTTTCAAATGGAAACATCATTTGTATATTCAGTTACTACATACAGCTTGTATGTATACAGTAGGATGCAGAAAATCCTGAAATATCAACACCTGCAATAGGGATTATGTTGAACTTGAAACAGAATAAGCAGGTAAATCTCTGCTATAATATAACTTATATTCTCAGTCATAGAAAGAATATTAGAATAGGCAAAGATAAAAATAAGTTGTAACCAGAAAAAAACGACATTTAGAAATGTGCATATTCTGGTTGTACCAATTTTTTTATAGTACTCAAAGATAGCACAATGACAACTATGGTAGAAAAACCAAAGCAGATAGAAAAACAAAAGAGTGCAAGACATTCCCATCTATGACTTATTATAAATATAATTTCACAAAAGGTCTTATTTGATTTTCCCCTTATATTATGGCTGAACATAGATGACAGCTAGATAGGTCAATTCATGTGGTTGTTCAGTATTCATGTACATCCTCAGTATTGAACAGAAACTTATCTGCCTTTTACTGGAAAAGGTCACATGTGCCTTTGGGTATAAATGCAGAAGACATGGTGCATGTTGTATCAAATCACACTCATTGTGGTTTTCCAATAATAGTGCAATCATTAGAATGAGTGCTGATAAAATTTCATATACATGTGATTTGTAAAAATTCATTATCTGCTTATAATAGCCACACAATCAGGTTAAAGAAAATATTCTGGATCTGAAAGACCTCCTGTATTTTTTAAAAGAGGGAAATAAGTAAGTCTTGTGACAGTCCTTGCTCAGAGCAGTTGATTAGTGTGTTCCTATACTGACCACCCGCAGAGCTGGGGAGTGAGGATCTCAGCTTGAGCATCTACCAGAATGAACCTCATGAATAATGCCTCCAGACACCTTTGCAAAGGAAAATTGCTATCAGCTGCAATAATAAATTCCTCTGTGTAGCCTATTCTATTTATAGATCTGCTGCAGACAGCATGAGAGGAATCTAAATGAGCTACTGGTATTTGTGCAGTACTGAGAATCCTGCTTTCAGGGATTTTAATATCAACATTACATAGTTCAGCTAATTAAAAAAGCATTAATAAACTGAATTATTCCTGGAAATCTACAACTGTGGGTGATGATTTTTAGTTATCATATATATTCAGTTTTTTATAGAAGAAAAGGTGGATCATCGCTGCTGACTGCCATAAGGCACAGACTTTAGTCTGCACCTTTAAAAAAAAAATCATATATTCTTTTAATGACCTGTATATGCAAACATTGGCCATTAATTTTTATAGTCTTACTTTTGGTATTTTGGAGAAGATTAAAAATAGCAGGTTTCATAACAAATTGTGAGTAGTTTATGGTTTGCAAAATGAGCAATGTTATGACATTTCACCATTGGTGCTGTAAGATTCTAATAACAAAAAATAGTGATTCCTGATAAGGCAAAGAAAACAGTTTTTAAAAAGTTCTACAGAATATTATAAAACTTGAAAGTTTAACTTTCAAGCTAACCACAGAGAAAGAAAATAATCACATCCATTTCACAAAAATAGTATACAAAACCCCAAATAACTTATTATTTTTCAAAGCACACTGTAACTGTACTAGGTTAAGAGAGGGACAAGATCTCCCATATTCTACTGAATTAATCTCAGATGCAAGAAACACATAATGCTCGAATGGCCAGGAACTTCTCCCAGGTAGATTTCACAATTTCATGATAGCCTGCTACCCTTTATAAATGCAAGAAGCAAGTGAAAAACAGCAGAAAATCAGAACAGCAATATCTTTTGTCTATGTTATACACCTGCGAATGACTCCAAGAAAAACTTATTGGGTAATTACATACATGAGCTGAAGAAAGTGAAAAACAAGGAAAATACCTTGTTCTTGTTTTCTTGTTCTGCAGAATTTTGAAGCTGCAGAACAAGAAACAAATTTGGAGTGTTCTGTAATGTGTTATATGACTGTATTAGCATTTGAGTTCAGATCCAGAACATGGCTTTGCAGAAAATCTCCTGTTTGTCCCCTGCTGAAATGCCTTGTTCCACACTGTGTCTCTAGAGTACATGAACTGAATTTCTTTTGGATTGACCTGCACCAGAAGACTGTCTTACAGGTCAGGTTGCTTCAGCTGTATGGACTTGGCATTCAGACCCAGACAAGGTCTAGTGTGAGTCAAAGCTTCTTGAAATATGAATAATGGGAATGTTGGGTCCTGAGCACTAATTGACTGAAAATCTATGCCTGTTGAACTACATTACCTACTAACGTGGATGCAGATTTATAAGCCATCAAAAGAAAATCATGCAGCCACGGTATATGTTACACACAAAAAATCCCTCCAGATTTTACATGAGAGCACTGACGAACTCCAGGAGTCAATAGAGAAAAAAACCCCAAACAACCCCTAACTATTCAGAATCATATGAAGGAAGAAAGACACAAACAGTGAAAGCAAATGGGAGAAAAGATAGAAATAGTGATGAAAAGGAGTGAAAGAGACAAGAAGGGTGTTTCTAGAGCACCATCACCTCATGCCTCCAGGATTATGATACAGGGAAAAAAAAATGGAGGGGAAAAAAAGTGGAGGGAAAATGAACTATTCCCTGACATTCTTAAAGTCCTCTGAAATGGTAAGGGACATATTTTGTATTACCATTTCCCATGTTATATTCCTTTGATCTTTGGTTTAGATATTAGATTGGAAAGAAAGTCACGAAGAAATATTTGCATGATATGACACGATATTGGTAATTCAGTAATACAATTTCTCTCCTTGAATCAATGCTACATCAGTGATCTGATTCAATGAAATCAAAGTTTTCTATAATATTGACAGCTTTGGGATACCAACCCAGATTATGGTAATTTATTTATTTAAAATATAGCACAATACAGAGGAGACTGGATTGTTTTACATTAGTAATCAAGTCACAGTTAAAACCCTGCTTTTGACTTAAATCAATTCTTCTTTTTGAAAGGAAAGTTTATAATCCCTTTTCACAGTGTGTCACAGCCATCATCTGTACTCTATTGGCAGTGTTTTGTTTGCCCAAAGCAGGATATAATTTTCCATATTTCTGTGCTTTTTCTATTTCTAAAGTGGGAGTACAATGAGAGCAAATGCCCTTTATGTAGTTTTATGCAAGAGGGGTTCCCTGAAAGGAAGCACACTCAATACCCATTAATAATGATTTTAAGGTCTCTTCTAACACAAAGCATTCTATGATTCTATGATTCTGTGGTTGCAGTGTGTGTCACCATGGGTTCAATATTTAATGACATAGATTCTTTTAGTGCCTTCATTATATTATCTATAACAAAGCTATGGAAGTTGGAGGGAACCTCTCCTTCAGTCAATAAGTAGTAGATGTACTTCAGTTTATGTTCAAGTTGTTACTATTATGTTTTTGTAGCACTCTTTTGTTTTAAATTACTGGAAAATGAAAGGGCCATCATACATTTTCGGTTTAAGCCTTAAGTTGAATTATGTTTCATGCAAAGATTCATTAAATTGCTTTCCAGAAAACACCAGCATAATGTAAAGGCAATTACAATCTCCCTTTGAAAGCTTTGTGTAATAGACAAATCCACAAAAGCTCTCTGCAGCCAGAAGGATAACCTTATCTCATCAATAATCTTAAAAATATCAAAGGACAATATATAAAGGAGGTGTTTCTTCCTTGTGCACAGCAGGTGTTTTTTAGTATATGATGTATCTGCCAATCTTTCCTTCTATTATACCGCTCCCAAAATCAATTCAGCTTTCATGCTGCTTTAGTACTTTTCACTCAGGTTTCCTCAATTACAGTATCTTGTCTAGCTCTGAATGCTTTTGTTATCTTTACTGTTTTGAATCATTTTCCCCTCTGCCTGGGAGCATTATTCTGCAAGTTCTGTCAGTTCACTTTAATTTGCTTTGCCTTTCACTGAGAGAATTTGGGTCTGTGTGATCAGATTTTGGTAGTGGCAGGGACCTACAGGGGTGGCTTCTGTGGGAAGCTGCCAAAGCTTCCCCCACGTTCAACAGAGCCAATGCCAGGTGGCTGTAGGATGGACCTGCCACTAGCCAAGGCCAAGTCCATCAGCAACCATTGCAATGCCTCTGGGACAATGTTGTTAAGAAGTTGAAAGAAAGCCCTGGCAGCAGCCTGTGCTGGAGCAGGATCCTGGCAGGGCCATGGCAGCGTGGAGAGAGGAGCCATGCTCAAACAGGTTTGCCGCCAGGACTTGTGTCCCTGTGCCCTGGGACACACACTGGAACAACTGCAGCCCAGAGGCCTTCCCACACTGAAGAAGTTCATGAAAGACTGTTTCCTGTAGGAGGAATCCCACACTGGAGCAGGAGAAGAGTGAGGAGCCCTCACATTGAGGAGGAGGGAGCAGCAGAGACTCGTGATGAAATGACTGCAACCCACATTCCCCACTCCCCCGTGCCACTGTGCGGGTGGAGGTAGAGAATTTGGGAATGAAGTTGAGGCCAGAAAAAAAGAAGGGGTGAAAGGAAGGTGATTTAAGATTTGGTTTTATTTTCTCTTTGCCCTACTCTGATTAGATTGTCAATAAATTATTTTTTTCCCCAAGTTAAGCCGGTTTTGTCCATGACAGCCTGATCCATGAGCCTTTCATT